ACCTGAAGAGTGGTCATCTTCGGGGTCGGGGAGAAGGTCTGGAAGAAGTCAACTCCCTCTCGCTGTCTGAAGCCTCGTGCAACGTAACGCGCCTTGAAGACAGGCGGAGAACCCGGCGGCCGCTTCACCCTGAAAATCCACATGCCACTGACGATGTTCGCCCCAGGTGGGGAACCTCGTCTACGTAGGTGCCTGTGGACTTCCAGGAAGCCATCTCTGCGTCCATGGCTGTCTGCCACTGAGAGGAGTAGGGACCCTCCATCGCCTCTGCGTAAGAGCGTGGGGTCGGGATGTCTAGTGCATCCGGGTCTCCCTCAGGGGCAATCAGCATGGACACAAGATGAGGTAAAGCATCGGCAAAGCACTCAAACTCCTCCTGTCTGTCCTCAAGGACGTCCGTGCCAAGAGTACACTCACCCCCGACGGACGGAGGACAGACAGACTCAGACTCAGCAACAAGGCTAGCGGCGTAGTCTAGACGACAGGCGGCAGCAAAGTCAACAAGCTCAGCGACTAGAGCAGACGCAGCAGAGGACTCAAAGGAAGGGTCAGTGGCAACAGTGGCGAGGAGACGCGTGACAGTAGGACTGGCAGTACGGAGAGAGTCAGACTCCGGGTCAGCAAGAGCAGGAAGATGAGGACGCTGGAGGAGACGGCAGAGGGACACGCTGTGGAGCAGTGGAAGGACGCAGGGTCATATAGTGAGTGCCAAGGACAGGAGGAGGACGCTGACGCGGAGCACGACGACCAGCGCGGACAGGCGACTCTGGACGCGACTCAGACGACTCTGGACGAGACTCAGGCGACGGAGGACGAGACTCAGGCTCACGACGCTCCGTAAAACCTCCCGTCGGCTCAGCGCAAGGAGAAGGACCAGGCAGTGGAGAGGCTGGCTGTAACTGTGACTGCGACTGGACAGGCGGTGGACTCAGTAGGGGAGGAGTAGGACCAGGAGAGGGCGGGAGTCCAAGAACCTGCTGAAGGAGCGGAACGTAGTACGGCCGCGGCCGCTCAGCACCTCCTGAACCAGCAGAGACAGCACCAGTACCCTCAGCCCCAGGGTCTCCAGCTACAACTCCCGCAGCACCACCAGCAACCCCAGCAGCTCCAGGACCTCCAGCACGAGCACCTCCAGAAGCACCAGCAGCACCTCCAGCACCAGCAGCGTCTCCAGCAGCTCCAGCACCAGCAGCACCTCCAGCAGCACCACCAGCAGCTCCTGCGCCAGCAGCACCAGCACCTCCAGCACCTCCAGCACCAGCAGCGTCTCCAGCAGCTCCAGCACCAGCAGCACCTCCAGCAGCACCACCAGCAGCTCCTGCGCCAGTAGCACCAGCTCCAGGGTCCGCAGCACCAGCAGCGGCTCCAGCTCCAGGGTCCTCAGCACCAGCAGCAGCTCCAACTCCAGGGTCCTCAGCACCAGCAGTAGCTCCAACTCCAGGGTCCGCGGCACCAGCAGCAGCTCCAGCTCCAGGGTCCAAAACACCAGCAGCGCCACTCCGTAGACTGCAGCGCCGAGCGTACCACTCTCGGAGCCGCTGGGGAGAGGGCGGCTCCCGCCTAGGCGGGGAACCACGAACACCAGCTCCAGCAGCACCCCTAGCCCCAGAAGCGCCCCTCCTGAGGCTGCAGTACCGCGAAGTACCACTCACGCAGCTGCTGTGAAGAGGGAGCGCCTCCAGGCGCCGCACGGTCAATCGCAGCACCCCCAGGCTCAGTACCATTAGACGTAGCACTCTCAGGCTCAGCACCCTCAGGCTCAGCACCCCCAGGCTCCGCACCCCCAGGCTCCGCACCCCCAGGCTCCGTACCCGCAGGCTCAGCACCCCCAGACTCAGCAACCTCAGGCTCAGCACCCCCAGGCTCCGCACCCCCAGGCTCCGCACGCTCAGGCTCAGCACCCCTAGCAGGACGAGAGTCGACAGCTACCTCGACAGGCTCAACCGGGTCTACCTGGGACACACCTGAGGGAGCGGCACCCTGAGGGGGGAGGGGGTCTACCACAGCAGCACCTGGTGCGAGGAAGAGAGGCGGGGGGGGGAGCGGGGCAGTGCGGTAGGGGAAGAGGCGGTAGTAGGGGACCGACTCGTCGAACGTGACGTCCTGTGAAGGCAGGACACGGCGCGAGGTGGCGTGGTAAAACTGCCAACCAGACGCGTCCGGGACAAAGCCAAGGAAGACACAAGGAACAGCGCGGGAGGAGAGCTTGTCCGCGGACGTATCGCGAACAAAAGCTCGAGATCCCCAGACCCGGAAACGAGACGCATCGCCAACCTCTCCCGTCCAACGCAGTGTCGGCGAAGTCTCCGGAACGGAGACACGGGGCCAGAGGTTGAGCTGACGCGCAGCGTATCGGACCGCAAACGGCCACAGAAAGTGGGGGGCAGCCGCATGGATCAAGGAGGTACAAGCGACCTCCATGACCAGGCCAATGCGGCGCTCAGCAACCCCATTCTGCTGTGGAGAGGCCGGAAGCCGTGAACGACTGCTCAATGCCCTGCCCCTGACAGTAGGCCCTCAAGAGGTCGGAGGAAAACTCCCCACCTCTGTCAGAGTGCAGACGCAGGACAGGAAAGTCCGAGTGGAACCTCTCGCTGAGCTGGAGACGGGCAGCGCGGATCCAGGGATCAAAACATCAGGGACTTCACCCTTGGTGCGCAAGGGGAAGACCGTGGTGTAGCGCGAGTAGTCGTCAACAACTATCAAGAAGTACCTCTCGTGACCCTGTCCACGAACGCGGGCTGGGCCCCACACGTCCATGTGGAGCGTCTGCAGGGGAGCAGTCGTCGGGGGAAACGAGGAGGAGTGAGGAGCGGCGCGCTGCCGCCCCTCGACACAGGGAAGGCAAGGAGGAGCAGGCGAGGGTGGGAGGGGGGGAAGAACCCTGGGAAGACCACAGACAAGGTACCGGGAGTGCATGCCACGAAGGCGCTGCACTGACGGGTGACCAAGGCGGTGGTGCCAGAGGACGGTCTCGTGCGCCAGGGAGCGACACGAGCAGGGGGCCGACAGCTGACCTGGCGCAGACGCAGACGCAGCTACCTGAGGGGACTCAGTGGTCAGTGTGTACAGGTCCGACCCCGGCTGCCGAGTGAAGGTGGCCAGGTGGCGACCCGTCCGAGCACACGTGCAGTGTGTCACGCGCTCGTAGGCAGGGGTGAACTGGTGGACACCCCCGTCCTGGAGCGCACTACCCGCCACCAAGTTCGTAGAGAACGAGGGGAGGTAGAGACCTGACAGTGTGCCCGACGGGACCGCAGGACAAGGGAGAACAGTGGAGGAGGTCGCAATGACCGGACCCCCAGAGGGGTCAGCGAGGGAGACTGCAACCGGCCGAGCAAGCTGCTCAAGGGCAGTGCGGTCACGAAAGAAACAGCGGGAAGCACCTGAGTCCAGTGTGAAGGTGTGCAGTGCCTCAGTAGACGCAGTACCAGAGGGCGCAGACTCACGAGCACCTAGAGCAGCAGCCTCACCAGCACCTAGAGCAGCAGCCTCACCAGTACCTAGAGCAGCAGACTGGATACCGGGGTCAGGCGGCACACACAGGTGACAGGCACCCGCAGCACTAGTAGACAATGCATACATGGCAGTGAGGATAGCATCATAGTCAGGAGCAAAGATATCTACCCTCTGCCTAAGTAGCTCCACTCAGTCGGGGAGGTCAGCGTCGTCGCCAAACTCTGTAGGCCAAGCGTCGCTCAGACGGGCGAAGCAGTGGGACTCTGTGTGACCACGCGTCCCGCAAGGCTGACCAGTCCGGGCACCCGTGCTAATAACGTACGGGCAGCGAGCAGTACTCAGCGACCCTCTACTCTGAGCGTACCACTCACGAAGCTGCTGGGGCGAAAGAGGCTCGCGCGGACGACGCTGCTGCTGCACCGGGCCACTACAAGAAGCTCCCGAACTACCCACTCCAGGACGACTCCCACTACGGCCACCCCGACAACCCCAACTGGCGTACCACTCACGAAGCTGCTGGGGCGTGAGGGACACACGCGGACGGCCGTGGAGCTGCATCTGGCCACGCCAGGAGCAGCAGTAGCAGCAGTAGCGGCAGTAACAGCAGTAGCAGCAGGAGCAGTAAAAGCAAGTAGCAGTAGTAGCAGTAGGAGCAGTAAAAGCAGAAGTAGCAGCAGTAGCAGCGGTAGCAGCGCGGGCAGGGCAGTGCTCACCAGTGGTGGGAAGGGCAGGCGCAGGACGGCGGCGACAGCGGGGCCGCTACAGATGTAGGGCGGGGCCGGGCCGCGGCAGGGAGCTTCGCGGCATCTGCTGCAGGGCGGGGCCAAGCCGCGACGGCAGCTGCTCCAGGGGCCAGGGTCGGCTCCTGCAGTGGCGGCTGCTCCAGGTGACCAGGGGCGGCTGCTGCAGGGGCGGCTGCTCCAGGGTCCAGGGGCGGCTGTAGGTGCGGCTGCTCCAGGGGCCAGGGGCGGCTGCTGCAGTGGCGGCTGCTCCAGGGGCCAGGGGCGGCCGTCCCAAGGGCGACGCGACGGGCTGGGGCTGTCACGACACTTATTTAACTCGTAACCGGGTTTAACTAGGGGCCTAGGCTTAGTAGCCTAGGCCAAGTGGGTGTCGAGGAGTTCGTGCCAAGTGGGTGTCAAGGAGAATCGAGAATGGATGAGTTCACTATAGCACACAAGGTACATATAGCAAACTAACAAATGTGAAAGAGGTGCACCACCATACAAGGGAATTGCACTATACAACAGCTACACTACAGGCAGATTACTAAATAGATATAAATATATTTTGACACAACCCCTATCTGTCTGAAGTGCATAACCATGTGCAGAGTCCCTCTTGAAGGGGTACACCTGTAAAATCCCATTACAGGGCGTGGGAACACCAGCAAGGGGCCCCCTCTGAAGCTGACAAGCAGCAACCACCAAGCAGCAGCTGAACCACCGCGGTGGAACAGGTGCCTGGCTGCGGTTGAACGCCCCGCAGCAGGTGCACAGTGTGCGAGGAGCACAGGTACGGGTAGCGGGTTCGGGTAACAACTAGGTGCTGTACGGGACGGGCTGCACGGGGGTGACGGGCAGCACGAGACCGGGAGCACAGACCGGGTGGGGTACGGGCGAGAACTGGCAGCACGGGTGGGGCACGAATGGGTACGGACAGCACGGGTGGGGCACGGGCAGAACGGGGCAGGACACCGGCTGAACGGGGCAACACGGGCACAACGGGGCAACACGGACAGAACGGGGCAACACGGGCACAACAGGGCAGCAAGGGCAGAACGGGCAGCACGGGCAGAACGGGGCAGGACACAGGATGAATGGGGCAACACGGCACGGGAACGGGCACGACACAGGCAGAACTGAGCAGGACACAGGCTGAACGGGGCAACACGGGCACAACGGGGCAGCACGGGCAGAACGGGCAGCACAGGCAGAACGGGGTAGGACACGGGCTGAATGGGGCAACACGACACGGGAAAGGGCACGACACAGGTACAACACGGGCAGAACGGGGCAACACGAGCAAAACGGGGCAACACGGGCACAAAGGGGCAGCACGGGCAGAACGGGCAGCACGGGCAGAACGGGCAGCAAGGGCAGAACGGGGCCGGACACGGGCTGAACGGGGCAACACGGCACGGGAACGGGCACGACACAGGTAGAACTGGGCAGGACGCATGCTGAACGGGGCAACACGTGCAGAACGGGGCAAGACGGGCAGAACAGGGCAACAAGGGCAGAACGGGGCAACACGGGCACAACGGGGCAGCACAGGCAGAACTGGGCAGGACACGGGCTGAATGGGGCAACACGGGCAGAACGGGCTGGAACGGGCAGAATGGGGCAGCACGGCAGAACGGGGCAGCATGGGAAGCACGGGGGCAGCACAGGAAGCTCGGGGGCAGCACGTGAAGCACGGGACGCATGGGTGGAACGGGTGGGGCACGACCAGGTACGGACAGCACGGGCACGGGCACGGGGAACACGGGCGGACAGAACGGCCACAGGCACGGGGCAAGCACGGGGAACACGGGCGGACAGAACGGCCATGGGCATGGGGCAAGCACGGGGAACACGGGCGGACAGAACGGCCACGGGCACGGGGCAAGCACGGGGAACACGGGCGGGCAGCATGGGCACGGGCACGGGGAACACGGGCGGGCAACACGGGCACGGGCACGGGGCAAGCACGGGGAAGTACGGCCGATATGGGAGGTATGTGGTAGGGGATGAGAGGAGGAGGAGGAGGCGGCTGATGCTGCAGATGAACTCTCACCACTCACACCCCCTGAACCTCCCCCCCCACAGCAGCAGTGACGGAGAAAGAGAGGTGGAGGTGCAGTGGCGGTAGGTGCTGAAGCTGAATCACCCACCCCCGCAACCCCCATAGCCTCCCCCCCATGAGTCGCCACCCCTACCACTTCCCCCTCCCCCAGCCGTCCCTCATGGGCCAGCACCCCTCCGCCTCCCCCTCCTGCAGGAAACGGAGCGGGAGATAGGGGAGGGGTGAAATCTGACGGTGGAGGGCAGTTCCGACGGTAGGGGGGGGTGATCTGACAGTGGGGGCAGGTTCTGACGGTAGGGGGCGGGATGTGACGGTGGGGCAGGGACGGGGCGGGTTGCGGACGAGGTGAAGACGGATGACGGGGAACTTCTCATGGCGGCTAACCCTCCACCCCCATCCCCTCCACCTCCCCCCCACAGCGGCAGCCGCGGGAGGGGAGAGGCAAGGCAGTGCACGGGCGACGGGTTGCAGCAGCAAGCGGTGCGTGAGCGATGGAGCGCTCGCTGATGCGCTGGCGATCATCGCTGGCGTTCTGCCGCCACTCCCTTCCCCTCTTCCCTCTCTCCCCCACAGCGTTCTGCCTTCACTCCCATCCCCTCTTCCCTCTCCCCCCACAGCGTTCCGCCGCCACTCCCATCCCCTCTTCCCTCTCCCCCCTCACAGCGACCGCGGCTGCACACGCAAACAGCGGCGACGGGGGGGGGGGGGGTTGACGGACAGGGGGCGGGGGTAATGCCATGGGCAGAGCGATGGCTTGGCTAAGGAGCGGCTGGGGCGACGGTAAGCAGGGCGATGGGAAGCGGGGCGACGGGAAATGCAACGGGTGCGGGGCGATAGGGTGTAACGGGGAACGTGACAGGCTCTCTCGCATAGCTCGCCGTCACTAACGCGGCAGCAGCGGGACGTCGAGCAATGGTGTGACGGGCGGCTGTGCTTGCGCTGGCGGATGTGCTGGCGCTGGCGATGGCGGATCCGACGGCGGGTCCGTCGACTCGGATGCTGGCGGGCTCCTGGCGTGCGCGCTGGCGGCAGTTGTTGGCGCGCGCTGCTGTGAGCTTGCCACAGGCCCGCTGGCGCGTTCGCCACGTGCAAGATGCGACGGGCGGGTCTACGGGCAGCAGCGGGCGGGAATCGTGGGCCCATTAACTTAAGTCTAGGATCTTAATAGCTCAATACCATGTCACGACACTTATTTAACTCGTAACCGGGTTTAACTAGGGGCCTAGGCTTAGTAGCCTAGGCCAAGTGGGTGTCGAGGAGTTCGTGCCAAGTGGGTGTCAAGGAGAATCGAGAATGGATGAGTTCACTATAGCACACAAGGTACATATAGCAAACTAACCAATGTGAAAGAGGTGCACCACCATACAAGGGAATTGCACCATACAACAGCTACACTACAGGCAGATTACTAAATAGATATAAATATATTTTGACAGGGGCAGCCCGCAAGGGCGACGCGACGGGCTAAGGCAGCCCGCAGGGGCGATGCGACGGGCTAGGGCAGCCCGCAAGGGCGACGCGACGGGCTGGGACAGCCCGCATGGGCGACGCGACGAGCCAGAGCAGCCCGCAAGGGCAACGCGACGGGCTAAGGCAGCCCGCAGGGGCGACGCGACGGGCTAAGGCAGCCCGCAAGGGCAACGCGACGGGCTGGGGCAGCCCGCAAGGGCGACGCGACGGGCTAGGGCAGCCCGCAAGGGCGACGCGACGAGCTAGGGCAGCCCGCAAGGGCGACGCGACGGGCTAGGGCAGCCCGCAGGGGCGACGCGACGGGCTAGGGCAGCCCGCAAGGGCGACGCGACGGGCTGGGGCAGCTGCGCGTGCGGCTGTGCGGGCGGTTGCGCGTGCGGCTGACGGGCGGCGCGCGCGGCTGTCCGAGGGCGCACGACGGCGCTCGTAGGGGCACTCGACGGCGCTAGAAGGGGCGCTCGACGGCGCTAGAAGGGGCGCTCGACGGCGCAAGAAGGGGCGCTCGACGGCGCTAGTAGGGGCGCTCGACGGCGCAAGAAGGGGCGCTCGACGGCGCTAGTAGGGGCGCTCGACGGCGCTAGAAGGGGCGCTCGACGGCGCTAGAAGGGGCGCTCGACGGCGCTAGTAGGGGCGCTCGACGGCGCGGCGGAACGGTGGGCCCAAACCAACGTCGGTCCTAGGTCCTGACCTAGGCGTCAGATACCATGTTAGAATCTAGAAGTGAACGAGAATGATTGAACTAACAAGATTGGGAGTACAAGTAGGAAACCCTAGAGTAATGTACCCCCTAAAGGCTAACCCACTGTAGCCTACACAACAGTAACATATATAATGTTTGACACGATGTATGCATGCTTTTTATCATCTCAGTCAATTACATTCACTCTGACCTGAGGTCAACACTTCCGCTGCAACAAACTCAACTTACGATCAACCCTGAGATGATCCTTCGCTAAGTCCTGTTTAGGATTGTAACATCACTCGAATGGATTTACGCCCCTTAGCGTACTAGGAGCCGCTGTCCTCACGCTCTCTCGTATGCGCGTCTAGCCACGTTTGCGCCTAGCACCTAGACCGGCCGACGTCCTTCGACATGGCAGAACGTATCAACCTTGCAAGCCTCACGCAAGAGCACCAACTGCAAGAAAGCACCGAGGAAATTGCGGCGCTAACGGTAGAATGCACGTCACTGCAAAAAGACATCGAACGGGCGCAACAAGCACAATCACAAATGCAAGGAACAGCAGCACAAGGAGCACCATCCGCCGCCCAACACGAGAGTGTGCGACAACCCTTCAGCGCTGCTAGTGATGGTGTCGCAAACAACGACGTTCGCAACGAATGCGGTTGGGAGTCAACGTCGTGTCAACACATCGACGCCGATTGATGAGTCGGCACTCCCTTCAATAATGTTGCTAAAGCCGCAGCGTCCGCCTTGCTTTGACCCGAGTTAGGCGGTTCAGCCGTGGATTTTCACGATGAACGTCTTCTTCGACCCGATATGCCGCGTCGTTACTGCGAGGACCCGCCATGGATTGGTGGCGCGTCAACGTCACGAAGCCGAGCAACTACCAGACTCTACCGCCACGGGAAGGACCAACTGGACCCTGGGCGCCGTCGTATTTCGTGGAGGTAGCCCAGTATCGCACGTGGGACATGTGGTGCGCAGGTCTACGCAGGAGATTCGAGCCCATCACGACGTCAATTTCCGCGCGTCAGAAGCTCCGCACTTGGCGCCAGCTCAGTTCCGTTTAAGACTACACAAGCATATTCCTTGCGCTATGCGAGCAGGTGGGATACATGCATGAAGCTGAGCGCATCAACCGCTATATCGGTGGCCTAAAACACGAAATCGCACAAGTGATCGTGCTTCCCGGCGTCACAGAGTTCAACGAAATTCTTGCCATGGCTAAAAAACTTGATTTTCTCCGCCGTCTGAGAACGGGGTCCTATAACTACAGCAACTGGGAACACCGGCCTCGGGGAACCAAACGAGCACGCTACGATATGCGCCATCGCCGCGAACGCTGCTGCCGCACCGTTCAAAGGGCGTTGCTTCGCTTGCAGTCGGCAGGGGGACTGTAAGAGCGAATGCCCAGAAAACGCAAATGGAAAGGAGGGAGCAGAGCAGTAGAAACAGATCAAGTAGTAGGGAAACGCTGGGAGTTAGTTGCGCACGTGCCCTCTATTGACAGGTTACACAGCTCGCCCGACCCACCGAATGACATGTCAAACTTATATGTTGCTAATTGTGTAGGCTGTAGTGGGGTAGCCTATATGGGGTACAACCCAATTAGGGTTAGCACTTGTACCCATCCTGCTGTTAGTCATTCCATTCTTGTTCGTTATTTCTGACATGGTTTCAGAGCAGGTCCTAGCCTAGGACCGGTTTCTTAGGGCCCACCGAGTAGCGCTACCCCACCCGTCGCGCCGCTGTGATCGAGCCGCCCTGCCTTGCCCTGCCCTGCGTCGCGCTGCCTGCGCACGCTCTGCCCTACTCGCGCGCCGCCCGCCGCAGCGCACACTGCTTTGCCCGTGCGCTGCCTGCTGCAGCGGGCCCTGGTGATTCGCGCGCCGCCTGCTGCAGTGCGCCCTGCCCTGCCCGCGTGACGCGCCGCGTGCCCTGCCCTGCCTGAGCACCGCCCGCCGCGTCCCCCTTCTCGCACGCCGCCCGCGCCGCGCGAGCTGCCCTGCCCGCGCATCGCGCTGCCGCAGCGCGCGCTGCCCTGCCCGCGCGCCGCTCGCACCGAGCGCCCTGCCCTGCCCGTGCGCCTCGCCGCTGCGCACCCTGCCCTGCGCGTGCGCCGCGCCGCGCGCCCTGCCCTGCCCACGAGCCGCGCCGCCGCGCGCCCTGCCCTGCCCGCGCGCCGCGCCGCGTGCCCTGCCCTGCCCGCAAGCCGCGCCGCCGCGCGCCTTGCCCTGCTGCCCTCCCTGCCCTCCTGCGCGCCCTGCCCTGCCGCGCACCCTGCCTGAGTGCCGCGCCCTGCTCTGCTGCGTGCCTTGCCCTGCCGCGCGCCCTGTCCTGCCGCGTGCCCTGCCCTGCCGCGCGCCCTGCCCTGCCGTGCGCCGCTCGCTACTGCACTGCTGCTAGCGTGCTCACCTGCCTAGCCCTGCCTGCGTGCTGCTCTACTGCTTGCGCGCCCGACGGCTCTGCCCGCTATGGCCACTCTGAACATTCTCACCTTCGATTCGGAGGGCCGCCCGATAGAGTTCAATGCGTGGCTAGACGACTTACAGCTGTACCTGCTGACCAACTCTAAGGACGGTATTTCACTGTTTGACCTCACGTCTGGCGCCTCTCTCGCCCATGCCACCACAGCTGACAGTACGACTCGCTCACAGTGGCTTACTCGTGACGCAGGTGCTCGCTTAGCCGTTT